TACTGTAGGAAAATTGCTGATGGAAGTACTGTATATGTAAATGTGGTTACTTTCCTTACCTTTCCCAGTAATAGTGCTAGCAGCCCTACTAGAATGAAAGATGCAGATTATAGCTCCTGAGGAAGTGGATGACTTTTGGCATTGGGAGTCACGACGTGCATAGGTGTGGTGTTGTGCAAAAGCATACCTCCTAACAGCTTGTGCAGTGGTTGGGAGGGCAAGTTCCCAAGTTAGTTTGTTCTCTCTTATGAAGACCAAAAATATTTAAATGTATTTAAAAGATAATTAAGATATATAAAAAATGGTTTGCTCTCTGGCTTGGTATGTGTGTTGCCCCTGGAATGAACAGACAGTAACAGGAAAGCCGAGTGTGCACAGCAGTGAGGTGGATTTCTTGTTTCCATATTACTGCTTACTCAAATGTTGTTCGTATAGTTGCTGGCTTGGAGTAATGGTGATGGTTTAGAGTGACTTTTGTGTATGTAAGGCACTTGAGATTGTTAACTCAAAGGACGGCAAAGGTGCTGCTTTACGGGTCATTGAGATTATTTTAACAGTTCACAGCCTACTATTATATAAACAGAGATCTCAACAGAAAATGTAGTAACTTTATCTTCTGTATAATCTATTATATGTCTATAGTAAGTATCAATTTGCTTTAGTGCTAATTTCAATTACGAGTAGGACTGCAGAGTGTGAAGGAGTCTGTGTACTTATTCCAAGGAGGAGTCCTCCTTACACAGGACCTTTGCACAGTGAGAATCAACATCATACAAGTTTGTTAAATGTCTTACATAAACCTTTTAAAAAAATGTTAATAATACTTTGGGTTTAAAAAGAAGGATTATCTCACATCCAAAATCTGTCTTCTGGCAAAATCAGGTTAAAGAGAAAGGCTTGAGAAAGCGTTTAATATCCTACCTATCTTTATAGTGTTACACACTGATCATTTACTTCTGACTGGTTTCAATTATCACAGTGCTTCGCTTAAAATAATTTTCTTTATTGTAGTATAGTATCTAGCTGAGTTAAATGTCAGTGCAATTTTTAGTGGTTTGGTTGCTTTTTAAAGTAGCCATGCTACTTTCCTCTGAATCCTCAATTTAAAAGAAGGGCTTGATGACAGTGTGGCTTACACATTGCATCACCTGATGAAGGGACAGCAGATATGTCAGGTAAATAACTTGCACAGTCCCTCTTCCTTAAAAAGTGTGCAGTCTAGATATGATAAAGCAGTGGAGCAAGTCATGGAGGACTTGGGAGTGGCATGTAAACTTTTAGATTTGTAGGTGAACATTTAAACCATGAGAACCAAGTGTGGGGTGAAGGGGGTGAAGGGTGAGTGCAGGCATGGGACTGCAACAGCTTCTACCAGGTCTGATCTGGTTGGAGTATTTCGTGTAAGCCTTAATTCCTGCTGGCTGAGCATCCATGAGGAGTGGCCAAGAAAAGTCCTCGAGCTTCTCAAGATAACCCCTTTACCATTCAAGAATGGTAAATTTTTGTTGTGGATCTTTTTCTTTATTATACATAATGTCTCTCGGTTTTGTGCTCTGTCATTTCTGCCTTTACTCTGTGCATCTCAGTAATGGCTGTCATACTTTTTCCTCACCAAAAAATGACTTTACTGAGTGATAGTAGGGAGAGATTCAGTCTTGGCAAACAGTTGAAATTCATATCAACGATAGAGATATTAAGTAGAAGTTTCCATTGTTTATTTACTTTTATTATCTGAAAAAATAACTTACCCTGCATAATATTTATGTCTTGTCCAATATTAGAAGTTTCTGCAAAAGAAAAATATGGTGAACATCATGGACGGTGTGCACTAATTACAACACCCACATTTCTTGTTACTAGTTTTTAACTGTTAAAGCTGCAAATTGAAAAATAAAGTGGTTCCTTTATTAGTCTTCACCCCTTTACACTTGCTCAAAGAGCATAATTTTGCTGCGTGAAGTTGCTATTTATTGTGTCCAGTCATTCAGTGTTGTCATATTCTTGTCATTCTTGCCTATACTGTCCTACTTAATAGATAGCAATTTAGCAGTCAGTTGTTCAGCCATGTTAAATTTGCCCTAGAGCTAAAACTGGATAATGTCCATAGTTAACTTTTTTAAACTTTGAAAGGGAAAGAAAAATAACTAGCATGCATTAGTAATAACCTGCTGAAATTCTCTTGTAAACAAGAAGTGCATCTTCACCTCAAGACTTGTTCCAAAATTATGTGATGGTTCAGAAATAATTTTTTAATCCTTTTTTCCTAGTTGCCTACTAGGAAAATTATTTGCTACATTGGAAGAGGTGCATTTTGGACAAGAACAAAGTTAGACCTCCTGGCTTCACTGAGTGTTCTAAAGTTGGTGTTCAGAGCACTGTCCTTGTCAGAACATGTGTGGAACAATACTTCCTTACTGCTTTGTATCAGATGTGTTTGTTTTTTGATAACCATTATTTTTGACATTTCCATTAAATAGGCAATTTTATTTTGAAAGTAATTGGATTGTTAATTTAGAAAAGAAATACAATATAATTGAAAAAATATGTGAGTTGGTAGAAGTATTTAAAAGTAAAGCATTCC